CGTGCGTGCGTGTGTGTGTGCGCGCGCGCGCGCGCGCAATTATAATGCATAATTATATATATAATACTTATACAGTAATAATGTATGTAATTTTTGAATTGATCGAATGTATTTAAGTACATAATTTTAACGAACAAAATTGAATAAAATAATTTTTATAAATAGTCACTACAAAAATGACGTTTGCTTCAACTGTCAGAGTAACACGGTAATCTTAGGTAGTAATTTTAACTAACGTGTTTTACGTATTCCCTACGTATTTTGTTCGTATTAAAATAAATTAAAAGAAAGCCAGAAATACATGTTAAGTATGTGTTAAATATTGAATTTATTACTGCTACTTGTTGATTGTTAAGTGGATAATGCGTAAGGCACACTTAGTTTAATAGTAATCGCGTACTTTACTGATTGGCACTACTTTGAAATGGTAAATAAACAGGATTTTCAAATGTTTAAAATTGGAAAATATGGAAAATTGGAAAATATCTGGTAACTAGAACAAATTTTTACTCGATTCAAAATGTCTACCTTTTAAATTGCAATTTTTCTATAATTGCAGAATTGCATTGTTACGTACAATATACGTTTCGTTTAAGAACTCGCGTTACGATTTCGATATCAAAAAACCGTACAATCTTACTTGCTTTTTCTCAAAAGAAAGATCATACAATCTTCCCGTGTTTTCAATAATCCATAAGCACACAATGTGTTTCTAACCAGATAACTATTCCCTCGGTTTCTTACCTCAAATAGTGTTAGCAGCAATTTTATGTACAATCTCCTAACGCCAAGCGACTTTCCAATAGATGCCAAGAAGATTATAGCAAGCAAAAACATAAGAAAAGGTGTTAAAAATAAAGAAACCGCTAAAGACATCACCATCCACAATGGCGCCATTTTGCTTACTGCTGAGCCGAGAAATATCCGAGAAGGCTAAACGATCCCTTATTTAAAACCCACGTGTACGAATACTATAGAGAGGTATTAAGAATTAAGAATTTCTGCCATCTGTGAACAATTACGAGAGCTAAGAAATAATAGAAAACATAAAAAAAGTTTCAAAACATTGTATGTTTTACTTGTATACTTTGCAAATATGTAAAATTATAATGCACAGTGAGATAAGAAAACATTTTAGACCATGAATAAATGTATAAGTTCTAATATATGTATATTGATTGATTTATGATCAAATTTGAAAGTAGCAATAACGGAATAAATGTATCCTAATTCAATATTCATCAAATCTTTAATTTATAATTTAAAGCATGCCACAAATTTAATATTATAATATACTTTTAATAATATTACCCTTGGAATAATGGTAACTTTCGTATTCACATTCAAAAATGCGCGGCAATATTTTACACGTTCGCTCAGTGATTTTAGTTAGAAGTTAACAGCATACTAACAAAATGTCGTCTGCCCAAGCAGCACCTCGACCAGTGCAGGTGTCCCCTTTTATTAAAGTGAGTATATTTTGTACAGTGGATTTTTTTAAAAAAGATTTACATTTCAGTATATTGTACTGCAAAGTATTATTTATTTGACAAATGCGTTATTAAGATTTTCTTTTATCACAAGAAATGATTGCACTTCAGAACAAATGCCTTTAAATTGATTATATTACATAATTTTCATAAAGTTTAAAGAAATTTTTTTTCTTTTTCTTTTTGAAATTATTAAAAAACATAGAGACAGCTATATTTCATTTATTTTACTGTAACATGAAAATTAAAATTAAATTGGCATTGAATTTGTATCTTGTTTTTCAAACTTATTAAATGTGAAATGAATATTAATTACATGTATTTTGTCGAATAAATTAAATATCTGAATATACATGTATATATGTATATATATTATATTATATATATTATATTATACATATTTTTTATTGAATCTTGTAGTTTTGTCGATGGAGTCTTCTGTTAAGTGGGATAGTTTATGGTATTTACCATCAAAGGAGACTTAGTAAAAAAGAAAATGCATTGCGTGAACAAGACCTTAAAGAAAAACCTATGAGAGATGCAAAACTAGCAGCAGAGAAAAAGAGGCTTCAGGAAGGTAAGAAGAAATAAATTTAACTATAGATAAACCAGTCACTTTAATAATGTAATATTGAATTGTAATTTTCATTTTCTTGTTTCAGCTGAAATGCAAATGCTGAATGACTTGTTCAACCCACCAAAATAAAGAATATTGTTTTTAGTAGTATACATGTGTATTTTTTTTAGGTTGATATTAAATTACCATTTGAAAATTTTCTATTATGTCAACTCTCCTTCAGATTTTCAATAGATATAAATTTCATATTGTATATGTATATATTAAATAAAATGATTTATGATGTATTAAATTGTAATTTTATGTTTTCAATATCAAATTTTTTATTTACTGGTATACGTAACAATTAAATTTCTTAATTACTAGTATATGCAAAATTAAATATTAGTTATATTTAAATATATAATATACATTATACTTTTTAATATATTTTCTTAAAAATTTCTTGTAAAATAGAATTTTCTAAATAGAAAAAAATTATCGCCCGAACAGGGACTCGAACCCTGGACCCTCAGATTAAAAGTCTGATGCTCTACCGACTGAGCTATCCGGGCAACTGAAAGAGAGTCTTGTAAAATATATAGCTACTCTGATATAATACAATTAATAAATGATAAATATATTTAAATAAAGTTAGTAATGTTTAATATATGTTACATAATGTTATATTATAATTCCAAACAATAAAAGTTTAATCATATGTAATAGATATAAATAAAAGTTTAATCATATGTAATAGATATTTTAATAAAAACTACAATTATG